TTATTATTATTATTATTATTATTATTATTATTATTATTATTATTAGTTGGCATTAGGAATTCGAACGTTCAGTGCCGCAAATACCAAATCCCGCCATTGTTCCCGTCCCTGAGCCCGATTCTTCCACACATTCCTTGTATTCATATCCTATTTCTTTAAGATCTTTTCTAATATTGTCCTCCCATCTATGTTTGGGTCTACCTAGTAGTCTTTTTTCGTTCGGTATACCGACCAATATTTTATGCGTTGTTCGATCCTCCCCCATGCGTGTCACGTGACCGGCCCATTTTAATCGGCGTGATTTTACTAAAAGAAATTAATATATTATATAATTTTTGAATGAAATATTTAATCAAATCTAAAATAAATCTAATATTAAAAATAAATTAATCATGAAAATAATTAATAATAAATACTGCAATTATCTTTGCTGCATATTTATACAGTAAAAAATAAAAATCATTTTTATCCTCTTACAAGGAGACATTACTCTGGAGCATCAACGGATTTAAATGATAGAGTCTTTATTTGTTGCGCCGGTGATTAGTGTTCGATTTCTCGTGTAGATTTTTTTTTTATAAATCTTTACTATTCATAAGTTTTAAAAACTTTTTTAAAAATATATAAAATTTTAACAGTAACAAAAAACAGTCATATATGCTCTAATAATTAATAATTTCATGTATATATAATATTAATATTATGTCCTCTGACAGATCAAGTTTCCTTCCTTCGTTAGCAAGAATTTTACAGCTGCATTGATACTAATACCTTCAAAAAAGCAAAGAAGATGAGTTATTAGAAACATTGAAATTTTATATATTTTTATATACCTGTTCAAAAATAAAATGTTAACTGTAATTCAAAAAATCAATCTTTCTTTATTACTTGTGCAAGATGTTAAAAAATTTATTGTTTCTAATTTTTTTATTATAATTTTTATTCCATTTTCCTGCATATCATTAAAAATAAAGTAATATAAAAAAGAAATTTTTAAACTTACAAATAAAAAAACGAATAAAAAAAACCTCCTTCACTTCACGCAAAAAATGTTTACATTTAAAAAAATATAATACGAATATTAAAAAAAAAAACTTTTAAAGCTTTTTTCTTAAAATTAGCTGGTCAATGGACGAAAATATCTTAATTTTCAAAAAAATACCTGAAAGGTTTACTACTGAAATACCAAAACTCATTAAAATCCGTTAGTGTTCCAGTGTGAGATCTCCTTGTTAATAATAAAAAACATGTTATTGGTTTGCATAAAATTTATATAATACGTTTCAACATTAGTTCCAAGTTTTTCTATTATACATGTGGGAATGGGAAAAAGAAATGCAAGTCTCAATGATGGGTGAATGCGATAAAAGAAACATAAAATGTGGGTGAGGAAGAAGGCATAGAAAAGTATGAGTAGGGATGTGGGTTTGAAAACAACCTTAAGTTATAGGTTGGGGTGCATACGGTAAGGATGGGCAAAAGTGTATGCGAAGGAAAATGAGAAACTAGAAATGTTAGAAGGATTTAAAAGGGCCAATAAGGATTGTCGAATCTACGGAAATGTGTTTGATAGCCAATAGATGACTGACAACAGTCTGGAAAAGCAACAAAGAAGATTACGTGGGTGAATGTCCATCATCGAAAAAGAACGCC